GGCAAAAGAAACAGTCATTAGAGTGAATCAGCAACCAACAGAATGGGAAAAAATTTTTGCAGTTTACCCATCTCAAAAACGGCTGATATCCAGAATTTACAAAGAACTCAAACAGATTTACAAGAAAAAAACAAACAATCCCATTCAAAAATGGGCAAAGGATATGAACAGACACTTTACAAAAGAAGACATACATGAGGCCAACAAACATATGAAAAAATGCTCAACATCACTGGTCATTAGAGAGATGCAAATCAAAACCACATTGAGATACCATCTCACACCAGTTAGAATGGTGATAATTAAAAAATCTGGAGACAACAGATGCTGGACAGGATGTGGAGAAATAGGGACACTTTTACACTGTTGGTGGGAGTGTAAATTAGTTCAACCATTGTGGAAGACAGTGTGGCAATTCCTCAAGGCCTTAGAAACAGAAATTCCATTTGACCCAGCAATCCCATTACTGGGTATATATCCAAAGGACTATAAATCGTTCTACTATAAGGACACATGCACACGAATGTTCATTGCAGCACTCTTTACAATAGCAAAGACCTGGAACCAACCCAAATGCCCATCGATGATAGACTGGATTGGGAAAATGTGGCACATATACACCATGGAATATTATGCAGCAATCAAAAATGATGCATTCCTGTCGTTTTAGGGACATGGATGAATCTGGAGAACATCATTCTCAGCAAACTGACACAAGAACAGAAAATGAAATACCACATATTCTCACTCATAGGCGGGTGATGAAAAATGAGAACACATGGACACAGGGAAGGGAGTACTAAACCCTGAGGTCTATTGGGGGGAATAGGGGAGGGACAGCAGGGGGGAGCTAGGGAGGGATAGCCTGGGGAGAAATGCCAAATGTAGGTGAAGGGGAGGAAGGCAGCAAAACACACTGCCATGTGTGTTCCTATGCAACTGTCTTGCATGTTCTGCACATGTACCCCAAAACCTAAAATGCAATTAAAAAAAAAAAAGAATTATTCCAATTCTGCTCAGACTTTTCCAAAGTTGGAAAAAAAAAATCTTACCTCATTCTGTGAGAACAGTATTACCCTGATATCAAAGCTAAAGATTTCAAAAGAAAGTGAATCTACAGACCAATATCCTTTATGAATAGTAGTACAAAAATTCTCAACAAAATACTAGCAAACAGAACTTAACAGCCTATTAAAAGAATTATAAACCATGATCAACTGGGATTTACTCCTAAAATGCAAGGATGATTCAACATACAAAAATCAATTAATGTAATATACCACATTAACAGAATGAATGAAAAAAACACATGATTATCTCAATTGGTGCATGAAAAAACATGATTATCTTAATTAATGGAGAAAAAAATTCACAAAATTCAACAACCTTTTATGATAAAAACACTTAACAAAGTGAAATGGAAGGAAACTACCTCAACACAAAAAAGCCATATATGAAAAACACAAAGCAAACATCTTATTTAATGATGAAAGCCTTAAAGCTTTTCCTCTAGAATCAGGAACAAGTCAAGAATGCTCAATTTTCCCTCTTCTATTCAACATAGTATAAAAGTTCTAGACAGAGCAATTAGGCAAGAAAAAGAAATAACATTTATTTTAAAAGGAAAGGAAAAAGTACAATTATCTTTGTTTGCAGATGGCATGTTTTATATATAGAATGCCCTACAGAGTCCACAGAATTTTGTTAGAACAAATGAATATAGCAAAGTCGCAGGATAAAAAAATCAGCAGGCAAAATTCCATTACATTTACATAAACCAACAATGCCCACTCTGACAGGGAAGTTACAAAAACAATTCCATTCACAAAAGCATCAAAAAGAATAAAACACTTGGCAACTAAGTTAACCAAAGAAGTGAAAGACTTCTATGATGAAAACCGCAAAACCAAAATTTAAAAAGACATAAATTAATGGAAATACATCCCATGTTCATGGATTGGAAGACAATATTGTTAAAATATCTCTATTACCCAAAGTGATCTATAGATTCCATGCAATCCCTGTACTAATCCCAATGATGTTTCCTGAAGACGTAGAAAAACCCATCCTAAAATTCAAATGGAGTCTCAAGGGATTGTGAATAGCCTAAGCAATCTTGAAAAAGAGCAAAACTGGAGGACTTGTACTTTCTGATTTCAAACAAAAAATCAGTAATCAAAAAAATCAATACACTAATCAAAACAGAATGATACTTGCATAAAGACAGACATATAGATCAATAGAATTAAACAGAGAGTCCAGAAATAAACCCTCACATATAAGATCAAGGTTGCCAAGACCATTCAATGGGGAAAAAGTCTTTTCAACAAATGTTGCTGGAAAAGCTGTGCATTAATGTGCAAATGGGCCAGGCACAGTGGCTCATGCCTGTAATTCCAGCACTTTGGGAGGCCGAGGCGGGTGGATAGCCTGAGGTCAAGAGTTCAGGGTGGTGAAACCCCATCTCTACTAAAAATGCAAAAGTTAGCTGGGTGTGGTGGTGGTCGGTGGGGGGGCAGGGGAGGGTAGCGCCTGTAATCCCAGCTACTCAGGAGGCTGAGGTGGGAGAATTGCTTGAAGCTGGGAGGGTGAGGTTGCAGTGAGCCAAGACTGGGCCACTACACTCCAGCCTGGGCAATAGAGCAAGAATTCATCTCAAAAAAATTAAATAAAAATAAATATAAAATAAAATATAAAAATGTGTAAATGAAGTTGGGCCTTTACCTAAAACCATATACAAAAACTAACTCAAAGTGCATCAAAGGCCTGAATGTAAGACCAAAAACAATAAAACTCTTAGAAGAAAACACAAGACAAAAGTTTTCCAGCATTGAATTTCTCGGGTATAACAACCAAAGGGAAAGCAACAAAAGAAAAAAATAGGCATGTTGGACTTCATGAAAATTTTTTAAATTTGTGCATAAGAAGTCACTATAAACACAATAAAAAGGCAATTCATAGGATCAGATAAAATATTTGCAAATCATGTATATAATAAGGGATTAATATCCAGAACATCTAGAGAACTCCTAAAAAATATATATATACAGTTAAAAAATGATAAAGGGCTTGAATAGATATTTCTCCAAAGAAGACACACAAATGCCCAAGAAATGCATGAAAAGATGCTCAACATCACTAATCATTTGGGAAATACAAAACAAAACTACAATGAGATGCCACCTCACACCCACTAGAATGCAACTATCAAAAAAATTAAAATAACAAATATTGATGAGGAGATGGAGAAATTTGAACCCTTGTACACCGTCAGTTAGAATGCAAAATGGTGCAGCTGCTGTGAAAAACAGTATGGCTTTTTTTTTTTTCAAAAAATTAAAAATAGAATTATCGTATTATCCAGCAATTCCACTTCTGGATATATGCAAAGAACTGAAAGCAGGGTCTCGAAGAGATAATTGTTCAAACATGTTCAAAACAACATCATTCACAATAGCTAAAACATGGAAGCAACACAATTGTCCATGAGTGGATGAGTAGATAAGCAAAACGTGGTATGTCCATATACAGAATATTATTCAGCTTTAAAAAGGGAAATTCTGATAAATGCTACAATATGGATAAACCTAGAAGACATTACGTTAAGTGAAAAAAGTCAATTACAAAAGGGCAAATGCTATATTATTCTACTTATATGAGGTACCTAGAGTGAAAATCATAGAGACAGATTCAAAGCTCTCATCTGTTCAGAAGCAGATCTGTGTTCTGTTCTGGAGCGGTGGTTTACAGGAGCTTCTGGGGAGCAGGGAATTGGGAGTTAGTGTTAATGAGTAGAGTTTCAATTTTACAAGATAAAAAGTTATGGAGATATGGTGGTGAGTTACCCTAACATGGTGAATGCATTTAATATTGCTAAACTATGCACTTAAAATAGTTAGGATGGTAAATTTTATGTGTATTTTACCAAAATTTTAAAAATGGAGAAAAAAATACATCAGGGACTTAAATGTAAAACTACTGGAATTTTGGAAAGCAAAATAGGAGAAAAACTTCAGGATCTAGGGATGACACCAAAAGTAGATTACATAAAAAGAAAAATAAATAAATAAATAGGTCTCCATCAAAACCAAAAAGCTTTGCTTTGTACTCATCAGCAAAACCAGGAGCTCGTTATGATGGATGTGACCGTCTAAATGAATCTTCAGAGAAGACGTGAAGTAAAAATAGCTCATCTTAAAAGGTTACATAGTGTATGATCCCATTCATATGATGTTCTTAATGAAATTAATAGAAATAGGTAACAGATAGTAGTTGCCAGGGGTTATAGATGTGGGTGGAGGAGCATGTGAGAACTGTCCGTATCTCCACTGGTGGCAGACACGCAAATCTAGACACATGTAATAATACTGCATGGAACTGCATACATACACCCATACAATGACTACAAGTCAAAAGAAAAATGTGAACAAGAGCATCCTATTATGTCAACAGTAATACCCCATTACTCAGAATAAGCTACAGCCCTGACATGGAAAAGTCCTCACGTTGCTAAGCAGAAACAGACACTGTATTTACAGCTGAGCAGATTGCACATCTCAAAGACAAGAACTTGACTGGGACTCAGAAATTTAAACTTCGAATCCAGCTAAACCTCCTTTGCAAGGTGAAGTCTCTTCTCCTGGAGCCCAGCATCAGCACCAAGGGTGCACAGCAGAAAGCTACACACGTGGAGCTGTGTAGCTCCACATCCCAACACACACTGCGGGGATGTGCAAGGCAGGGCTCTGAGAAGCTCGGACAAGAAGGACAACGTGACAACAGCGTCTGGATGGCAGTGTCACACTCCATATGCTCACCCCAGCAGCCTCACACAGATCTAGGTATGCATCTGACCGGTGGGATTAAACCTACCCACCTGCTAAATGGGGGCAGGTGCCAGAAACATCCTGGAATGTGATCAGGAAAGAAATTCAAAACATCTTGATATTAGAGTGTGAAGTCACCATCACCTGCACCATCAAATAATGACCCCTCCTTACCTAAGACAGCCAGAAGACAGTCGTTTCCCACAGTGTTGAGAAGGAAATCCATTTGTGAGAGTAGAACTAACATTTCTAAGAAAGCTCTGGAGAAGACAGTATGCACAGGCTAGAGCTCAGGAGAAGGTGCTGCCACAGACAGGCTCCTGTTTTCACTGCAGATGCTGGGACCCTGCCAAGTGGGCCACCTGAGCTCCTCCTGCAGATCAGAGGGTGGGGCCCCTCTCACAGGCAGCAGTAGGGTCCTGGCCCGAAGGGCTGACCTGCAGCGACTGGGAGTAGCCCACTGACCATGGAAGCCGAAGAATCCATATATGTTCCATGGGTGCAGTCCCTGTGCACACCCACAGGAGATTGGTAAAGGGCTGAAGTCGGTCCGGGGCACCCAAGGAGGGATCTCTGAATGCCTGCAGTTCCTCCCCTAGTTCCTTGCCATACTCAGCAACTGGCAGGCTCCCACACTGGCTCTCTGCTCTGCAAAATGTGTGCTATTGTCCTAGGAAAGAAAACGTGAAGTGCTACTCAGTATAAAAGTTTAAGCCAAAAGCAGTATCACATCCATGAGGGAATTGCAAAGATTAGCACCACAATCAAAGACTTGGAAAATGATGAGTTTTTATTTCCTTTTATCTTGATCAGCTCACCAGTTTGGCCTATGTGGAACATGTGCTTCTTGGAAAATAATGGTGGGATTTACAGCAACATGGTGACTAAAACGGTGCTTGCTGTTCCAGATGAGGTCTGTACTAACAAGCCAGGGCAGCCACTGGCCTCAGGTTGTCCATTACTGTCTTGCAAATGCTTACTTGCTGCTGCTGTGGTTTTCTACTGTAATAAGAAGAAAATCCAGCTGGGCGCGGTGGCTCAAGCCTGTAATCCCAGCACTCTGGGAGGCCGAGGCAGGTGGATCACGAGGTCAAGAGATCGAGACCATCCCGGTCAACATGGTGAAACCCCGTCTCTACTAAAAATACAAAAAAATTAGCTGGGCATGGTGGCGCATGCCTGTAATCCCAGCTACTCAGGAGGCTGAGGCAGGAGAATTGCCTGAACCCAGGAGGCGGAGGTTGCGGTGAGCCGAGATCGCGCCATTGCACTCCAGCCTGGGTAACAAGAGCGAAACTCCGTCTCAAAAAAAAAAAAAAGAAGAAAGAAGAAGAGAGAAGAAGAAGAAGAAGGGAGGAGGGAGAAGGGAGGAGGGAGAAGGGAGGAGGAGGAGGAAGAGGAGGAAGAAAATCCAGGAGCCATCTGCTTTCTCTTATCAAGCAGAGTCACCCACCTTCATCTTCTCACCTCAGGCCCACTCTAACTTCTGAGCTGGGATCTGAGAACCCTCCCATCGTCTGCGACCCAGAGGGCATGACTCAGAGAGGGCCTGCAGAGCAGCTCCTGGTAGTGGCAGGTGGTGCTGGTGCATGCTGCAGGGTGGAGGAGACGCCGTGACCATCCAGGACTTGCCCTCCAGGAGCTCTGGCTGCTCAGTGCTGGAATCTCTCCTTCAAAGTGGAAGCCGTCACTGCACAACACTGTCCTCACTGCAAGGAGAAGGCACACGACACGATGGAGACAGCAGTGCCACCGGTTAGTGCTATTTTTCCAATCACTGAGGTGCTCGGAAATCTGCTGGCTTGGACTGGAAACCAAAGCAGCCTCTGCACAGCTGCAGACAGCCACGTGAACAGCACGAGCCAGGGGCCCTGTGCACGGCAGGACACTTGCACGGCCAGGCATGCTTGTGCTCCCTAGATGTGGACACCAGAAACGTCCCGTTGTGCTCTTTGTTCTTCGCCGTCACAGGTCAGAGGCAGGGACTCTCTATATTTTAGAATTCCTCGCCACGAAGGCTCCAGTTGAAGCCTCCGTGTGAGATCTGATGGCAGAAGACAGGGAGAAGCCACTGTCGCTCCTACCATTTGGCAAGCAGGTGTGTGGGATTTGGCGACTGGGCATTCTTTTCACCACTTTGATCCTGCAAGAGGTGAAATCACTGCACCACGTTTCCCAGGTGGGGTGGAGATGAGACGAAGCCGATCCACCTGCGGAATGAAGCAGAGCGGCCCTGCAGGGAGCCCAGACCGGCCAGCGTCCAGACATCCAGCAGGTCCGGGAGCAGAAGCAGCTCCCCAGGCATCCGGGCCAGGGCCAGCCACTCCCACCCACGTGTCTGTGAGGACAGGCGGTGGCTGCTCTAAGCCACCGAGGGAGTCGTGCAGCTTTCAGGCAGTAGCCCGCGGACGTACCTGCTCCCAGCCTCAGAGAAAAGCAGGCTCCTTCTATGTGCCCGGTGTCGCACGAAGATGAATAAAATAATTTATACCACAAAGCCAGAAACAAAAGACATTTAAGGAAAATGAATGTAGGCAGCAGGAAAAGATGCAGTGAAATTTCGCACCTGCAGTAGCTAAAATGCATAAAGATGTATGAGGAGGCAGCCTTTCCCACGAACTGCAAGACTCGCCTGGATATTCTCCGAGTGACTCTGGAGTGAGTGGGGTCTTGGTCGGCTCCTTATGTCACCCACTCTCTTCTTTAATTACCGAGTATGCACATGGCTTGGTTAAAACAGGAGTTTGCAGTCGTGTGCTCAGTGACCTAGCGAAGCCCGAGGGCTGCCCTGCCTGGGGGAGACAGGCACCCCCTCCCTCGTGCTGGCCAGGGAGGTGCTAACACAGGATTGGTCAGTGAAGCGAGACCTCCCTCCATGCTTAGGTCTGAACCCAGCTACCCCAGATCGTTGCACTCACACGAAGTAGGCCGAACAGCTTCGCAGTCTCCCCAAGACCACAGCCGAGGACTGGGCCGGATGGCTCCAGTGGCCACGCCCGGGGGATCCAATGCCCGGAACTGACCCGGGGGACGCACGCCCCAATCCCCCCAGGCCAGGGCAGCCGCCCGGGGCTAAGGGATGCTGGGGAAGCCAGTAAAGAGGAGTAGATCTGGTGAGGAGAAGGGGGCGGGCGGGAGAGCAGCAGGCAGCTGCTCTGCACCCCAAATCTACAAAACATACAATTTTTGTGCAGAGAGAGGACGCCTGCACGGGACTCTTGGGGAGCGTGGCCTCTGAGGAGCACGGCAGGAAGGCAATGGCGCCGGCGGGACTGGCTGAGCTCAAGGGCTGGAGACATGCGACCCTTAGAAAGTTCCCCCGGAAGCGGAAGTGCGATGCTTCCGGAACATGCAGGGTTCCGGAACATGGACGGTGCCGGTACACGCCTCCTACCTGAGGGTTGAGTGCTTACATTGTATTTTTTTGTTGCTGCCATAAAAATCACTGTAAATGTACTTAGTGGATTAAAACAACAATTTATTTTTTTTTGAAAGAAAAAAGAAAGGAAGACAAAAGAAAAAAAGAAAAAAAAAATGAAAGAGAGAAAGAAAGAGGAAGAGAAAGAGGGAGAGAGAATGGGAGCCTTGCTCTATTGCCGAGGCTAGAATGCAGTCTAAAAATGGGTATTAAAAACCCCTTTTATGCCAATAAATGTGCTTACCATGGAGACAGGAAGGAATAAGGGAGGAAAACAACAAACAAGCAGCCAACCAATATTTCATTTAAACCTGTGAAGTGCTACACAGTTGCTGAGGAGTGATTTGCTTCCAATTACGGAGTCACTTTTACAGTGGGTGTGATGTGGTACTGATATGAATGTATGTTTTGTGAATTTGGGGTGGAGAGTTCTGTAAATGTTTATTAAGTTTACTTATTCTAGGTCTGAGTTCAAATCCTGGATATCCTTGTTAATTTTCTGTCTCATTGATCTGTCTAATATTGACAATGTAGTGTTAAAGTCTCCCACTATTAATATGTGGGAGTCTAAGTCTCTTTGTAAGTCATTAAGAACTTGCTTTATGTATCTGGGTGCTCCTGTATTGGGTACGTATATATTTCGGATCATTAGCTCTTCTTGTTGCATTGATCCTTTTACCATTATGTAATGTCCTTCTTTGTCTCTTTTGGTCTTTGTTGCTTTAAAGTCTATTTTATCAGAGACGAGAATTGCAACTCCTGCTTTTTTTTTTTTTTTTCCTCTCTCTCCATTTGGTTGGTAAATCTTCCTCCATCCCTTTGTTTTGAGTCTTTGTGTATCCTTGCATGTGACATGGGTCTGGATGCAGCATACCGATGTGTTTTGGCTTTTTATCCAATTTGCCTGTGTCTTTTGTTTGGGGCATTTGGGATTGATATTTATATATATAAGTTTGATACTGCCATTTAATGCTAGCTGGCTGTTTTGCCTGTTAGTTGATGTAAATTCTTCATTATGGTGATGCTCTGTTCATTTTGGTATGTTTTTGGAATGGCTGATACTAGTTGTTCCTTTCTATGTGTAATGCTTCTTTCAAAAGCTCTTGTAAAGCAGGCCTGGTGGTGATGAAATCTCTGAGTACTTGCTTGTTTGCAAAAAAAAAATTATTTTTCCTTCACTTATGAAGCTTAGTTTGGCTGGATATGAAATTCTGGGTTGAAAGTTCTTCTCTTTAAGGATGTTGAATATTGGCCCCCACTCTCTTCTGGCTTGTAGGGTTTCTGCTGACAGATCTGCTGTGAGTCTGATGGGCTTCCCTTTGTGGGTAACCTGACCTTTTTCTCTGGCTGCCCTTAGTATTTTCTCCTTCATTTCAACCCTGGTGAATCTAACAATTATGTGCCTTGGGGTTGCTCTCCTTGAGGAGTATCTTTGTGGTGTTCTCTGTATTACCTGGAGTTGTGTATTGTCCTGCCTTGCTAAGTTGGGAAAGTTTTCCTGGATGACACCCTGAAGAATATTTTCCAGCTTGGATTCATTCTCTTCATCACATTCAGGTACACCTATCAAACGCAGACTAGGTCTTTTCACATAGTCCCACATTTCTTGGAGACTTTGCTCATTCCTTTTTAGCCTCTTTTCTCTAACCTTGTCTTCTCGTTTTATTTCATTAAGTTGGTCTTCGACCTCTGATATCCTTTCTTCTGCTTGATCAATTCGACTGTTAAAACTTGTGCGTACTTCATGAAGTTCTCATATTGTGTTTTTCCACTCTATTAATTCACTTATATTCCTCTCTAAATTGTCTATTCTCATTAGCATTTCGTCAAACCTTTTTTCAAGGTTCTTAATTTCTTTGCATTGGGTTAGAACATGTTCTTTTAGCTCACAGAAGTTTCCTATTATCCACCTTCTGGAGCCTGTTTCTGACAATTTATCACACTCATTCTCCATCAGGCCTTGTTCCCTTGTTGATGAGGAGCTGCGATCCCCCGAAGGAGGAGAGGCATTCTGGTTTCGGATGTTTTCAGCCTTTTTGCGCTGGTTTCTTCCCATCTTTGTGGATTTACCCACCTGTTGTCTTTGTAATTGCTGACTTTCAGATTGGGTCTCTGAGTGGACATCCAGCTTGTTGGTGATGAAATTTTTTTCTGTTTCTTAGTCTTCCTCCAGCGGACTCCCCTCCCCCACAGAGCTGGACCTTCCCGGGTTCAGCTGTGCTTGCTGTGAAACTCTCAATCTTCAGTGCTTCCAATTGCTGTTTTTTTTGTGGGGGGTGGGACCCGCTGAGCCCGATCACGTGGCTCCCTGTCTCAGAGCCTACTTCTTCTTTTTTTTTCCAGTCACCCACTGAAACGGTGCTGGAATCTGTGTAATTTCCCCTGCGGTGACCCACTGTGCCAGCTGAAACAGTGGCATTGAGATTCATGGCACTTTTCTGCCCAGGAATCTTCCAGTCTGGCTCCCTGCTTCAGTCCCCTTTTCAATCAGTGGAATGGGCAACTCTGCCTCCCCGGAGCTCCAAATGCCAACTAAAAGGGCACCCAGTCCTGTATACTCTGTACTGAGAACCGCTGCACTGGGGCACAGGCAAAACAGTCATGCCAGCCAGAAGAGACGCTGGTGACCCATGGGGCTCCTCCGCTGGGAATCTCTTTGTCCGTGGGCAACAAAAATTCGTCTGGAAGTGTGGCGTCCATTCACTGTCTGCGCTTTCACTGGGAGCTACAGTCCTGAGCTGCCGCTAATCGGCCATCTTGGATCTCTCTCCACCAATTTATTCTTATGGGTCTGCAGGTCAGAAGTCCCAAATGAGCCTCACTGGGCTACGACAGAGAAGGCAGGGCTGATCCCCTCATGAGACTCTGGGAGAAAATCCATTTCTGTGTCTTTCCCAGCATCCGGGCAGACTCAGTCTGGGGCTGTGGAACGCTTCTCTTCCTTCAGAGCCTGCGACGTCGCGTCTCACTCCTCAGCGCTCCCTCTTGAGTTCCTTCATGATCGTACTGGGTCCCCGGGTGACCCGGGGTGCTCTCTTCATCTCAAGGTCAGCCAACCACAGCCTTAATGTCATCTTCAACCTGGCATTTCCCACGTTCCAGGGGTTAGGACTTAAACATTTCCAGGGCTACAGGTCTGCTCATCACAGACACTGATCCATTCTTGAGGGGAAGCCAAGAATTGAGTAGATGGAGGAAGTGACGAGGGTCTTGAACTGCTTCTATAGTCCTCCCAAGAAACTTTAGACAAGTCCTGGAAAGCACTGGTAGGTAATCCGATGAAATTTCTACCTGGTCAAAACAGAGGAAAATGAGGTGACCATCACAATTCATGGGACTCTGTGGAGAGCATGGACCACAAAACACCTGGGAGGTTTGTCTCTGGCTGTGTCCTCAAGCAAGACACCCTCTGCCATGCTGTGAGCAGAGTGACTAGAAAGAGGCAGGGGCAGCCGGGTGCGGTGGCTCACGCCTTGTAATACCAGCACTTTGGGAGGCCCAGGCTGACAACAGATCACCAGGTCAAGAGATTGAGACCATCCTGGCCAACATGGTGAAACCTCGTCTCTACTAAAAATACAAAAAATTAGCTGGGAGTGGTGGCAGGTGCCTGTAATCCCAGCTACTCAGGAGGCTGAGGCAGGAGAATCGCTTGAACCCAGCAAGTGGAGGTCGCAGTGTGCTGAGATCGCACCACTGCACTCCAGCCTGGCAACTGAGTGAGACTGTGTTTCAAAAAACAACAAAAAATAAAATAAAATAAAGAGGCAAGGGTTGGGGTGAAAACATCGGACCAGTGAGAACGCTCAGACCTACTCAACTCAGGTAGACTGCCTGAGTTCAAGCAACATGTAACAGCTTCTGACACTAACTAACACAAAAGGGTCACAGACAACTGGGAGGAAAACGTCAAAGACTGTGCGGCCATGGTGACACTTCATACAACTTAAGAAAAAGTTACATCAAGGGTATGTAATCATAGGTCCAAAGTTGAACTAGAAATGTATTGATAGTCCAGTCAGTGAGATGGCCTTTGCTAATCTAACAACAGATGACCTACCCCTCACCCGTACGATGTGTAAACATTTCTGGGAAGAAATAAGAGTGAAGGAGTTCAGGGAACCAGATTCTCTTTCTAGACTTCCAAGAGCCGTCCCCAGACACTACAGCCTGTCATCTACTGGTTCATTAGATGCTCCTTTTTTTGGAAAGAAGATGAGAGAGTTTGACAAAAAAAAAATATAAGAACTTAAATGTGTTAGTTACATGTTTTGGGAACTTTTCAGTACATGTGGTTTCCTGGCATTTCTGATTTCTGCTGTAATTTCCAAGGCCTGCTTGGTATTTCCACAGCCACAGAGAGTAGAAGAATCCATTTTCATTAATTTCTAGTCATTAATACATCCTTTTCTCATTATTTTGAAACTATATCAATCTAGCTTGCCATTTCCATAATATTTCAGCCAAAAAACACACAAGCAAATGCTAAGCAGTCCATTCTTCATTATGTCCCTGGTGTGGTGTGCTGAACTTCCATCCCTGAAAAGGAAGGCATGCTAACAAGTGAGACAACATTCTCATTTAAAATAGGAGCAAAAGGCCAAGCTAAAAGTATGCTACATAGCAAATTATGGGGGCAATGTACTGACTTGTAAAAATTACTTTAAAATTCATCAAAAATTGGACATTAATGAGTGGACAGAGGAAAAGAGAGATGAACAGTTGTGTGGTTATGTGATAAAATAAATCTGGTAAAATATCATTGATAGAATATTCTAGTGGGAATTCAACTCTTCACTGCAAACTCTTTCAACTTTGATGTCTATTAGAATATTTTCATAATAAAATGTTAAGACACATAGTAGACTTCTGTCTAAATGATCATGTTACTCATGATTTGGCTCTGTGTCCCCACCCAAAAATCTCACCTTGAATTGTAATACTCCCATGTGTCAAAGACAGGGCCAGGTGGAGCTAATTGAATCACGGGGGGTTTCCCCCATACTGTTCTTGTGATAGTGAATATATCTCTCAAGATCTGATGGTTTTATAACTGCCACCATGTAGGATGTGACTTTACCCTTTCTTCACCTTTGCCATGATTGTGAGGCCTCCCCAGCCATGGGGAACTGTGAATCAATTAAACCTCTTTCCTTTATAAATTACTCTGTCTCAGGTATGTCCTCATTAGCAGCATGAGAGCAGATTAATACACTCACTAAAAAAAAATTTTTCTTTAGACAGGGTCTCTGTTGCCCAGGCTGGAGTGCAGTGGCATGAACTTGGATCACTGAAGTTTCAATCTCCCAGGCTCAAGCGATCCTATCTTGGTTGAGAAAAAGCCTCCTGAGTAGCTGGGACAACAGACATGCACCACCACATGTGGCTAATTTTTAGGTCTCGTTGTGTTGCCCAGGCTGGTCTTGAATTCCTGGCCTCAATCAGTACTCCTACCTCAGCCTCCCAAAGTGCTGCCAAAGTGCTGTGATTACAAGTATGATCTACCATTCCTGGCCTATCACCTGCTTTATCTTTTTTCAAGACTTTTGTGGAAAATCTATTATTGTAGACAATAGAGTTTCTAAAAAAACAGTGAAAATTGTATCTTTTACTTCATTTTGCACAGTTTGCCAAAGATCCTTACATGAGTTCTGGCAAGAAAGACAGTATTACTTGGCTACAATTATATCTGGAATTAATAAGTGATATGCAGTATTCTATATGAAAATGATTATGCTACACTTAAGTACATTTTCCTTTGCAGATGAATGTAGATCATATAAAATCATATCAAATTGAATATTGCCAGTTATTGTAAATATTCTTAAGATCCTTAGTAAGCTCCAGTCAGGTAAAATTCATTTGCTAATTATCAAGATCTAGTTCTATTCATGCGGTGGGGGTGAGTTAATGTTATGAGTGATTTTTCTAATACTCCAATTAACACTTACATTAAGCCATCAATCTTAACCTATGAGGGCAATAATAGAAGCTCATATTCATTTATCTCTTATCACAGATAGGTACATGCACCATTTCATTTAAGCCTCAAAGCACCATTATAAGGTAGACACACTTGAGATAATTTGAGAAATTTATCCTAGGTTATCTAACTTGTTGGTAGAATGGAGAACTAAACCCAAGTGGACTGACAGCATTCCTATACTCCAAGAATAGTCTTCAGACCAGAAACAATCGCCATCACTTGTGAGTCTCCAGCTCACCCCAGACCTATCAGATTAGAAGCTGCAGTGTCAAACAACCTCAACATGTAGAAGTCACACTGAAGTTTAGAAGTGCTGGCAGATCCATCCCCTCACCGTCATGCCATGCCAGTAGCTCTCAAATTTTGTGTGAGCACAGTCATCTGGAAGGCTTAAAACGCTGAGTGCTGGACCCTCCCAGCTGAGTCCAGAGTTTTGACTCAGTAGGACTGGGCAGGAGCCCTGAGAATCTGCATGTCTAACACATCACAGGTGATGCTGAGGCTGCTAGGTAGGGGGCCACGCTTTGCACACACTGCCCACTGCCCACGTGCACTGCCTCAGTCACTGTCATCATCAGAAACACATATACCACCTAAACCTCCTAAGCTTTTAAACCCATAAACAAAGCTCACAGCAGTTAACTCTATAGCACACATTTGCATTTGTACATTTTCCTTTGTTTTCAACAGAATTGTGATTTTTAAAACATTGTGATGTATTTCATCTGAGCTAAAAATTAAACATATTGCAACATTAGAAGCTCTGAAGAATTCCTAAGCATAAATTTTTCCCTATTTTTCATTTTACTCTTGTTCTCTTCTTGATGGGAGAAAATTGGCATACACATCACATTCATCTGAGACTTCCAGGGAGACACAGGTCAGGATACATTATAATCCATATGCCATTAAGATACTGTGTCTTACAAAACAAATATTGAACTGTAAATTTTAATCTATTACATACTGACAGAAATTGAAGTAAGTGATTAAAAAAAATCAAGGGTCTTGTTGGTGCTTATCTTAATGGAGTAACTTTCCCCAATGTCTGGATTTGTAATTTCTAAATTTTGCCTCCTCTAGTAATAACTGTCTGGAAGGCCAGTGAAACAAAAACATTGTGACTAATTAAGAACAAGTTTGACTGATTAAGGAGAGAAATGATTCCCAGAATGAAAGAAAACCATAGATGGCAACAAACTTACAGAAGCACATTAGTAGGGTAAAAACATGGTGGTTGCAGATTAGCTGTATACCGGTATTTATATCTTCAAAAATGGTGTGTCCCTTGCAGTAAATGTATAGTACCTTGCAAAAACAGATGGTACTGGAATTGAAGGTGAGTAAGAATAACATGGACCAAGGGGCAAGATCCAAGATGGCCAAATAGGAACAGCTCTGGAGTGCAGTTCCCAGCAAGAGCAGCACAGAGGGTGAGTGATCAGTGCATTTCCAAATGAGATACCAGGTGCATCTCAATGGAACTGTTTACACAGTGGGTGTAGCCCAAGAAGGGTGAGCTGAGGTAGGGTAGGGCATTGCCTCACCCAGAAAGTGCAGTCCCCAGAGGACGCCCCTCCCTGCCCAACATCAGGAGCTTTTCCATCCACTCTAGCACCCAGTTCACATACTGTGCTTCTCCTGCAGTTTATTCCACCCACAGACCAGGAGACTACTGGGCTGAAAAGTGCCACGAGTTGCCAGCATGGCTGTTTCAGCTGGCGCCATGAGTTTCCACACAAAAAGTCACACAAATCTGGGCAGCCATTTCAACGGGTTCCTGGAAGGCCTGAGAGACAGAGCTGCCCATTCAACTGAAAAAGAGGGGGCTGAAAGTAGGATCTGGCTCGGTGGGTTCCACCCCCACAAAGCAATCTGAAACGCTCTGGAGAGAGAGTTTCACAGCAACTGCAGCTGTATCCGAGATGGTTCAGCTGTGCAGGGGGAAGGGTGTCTGCCATTACCAAGGCAGCCCGCCACTACCGAGGCAGTCCACCATTACCGAAGCAGTCTGCCATGACTGAGGCAGTTCTAACTGTACCTCTGTAAACAAAACTTGGAGGAAGTTTACACAGCAGCTGGGCAGAGCCTGCAGCAGATCAGCAACACTTCTGATGGCAGACTGTGACTAGATTACCTCCTTGCTGGGCAGGGCATCTCTGAAAAAAGGCAGCAGCAGGTCAGGAACTTATAAATAAAGCCCCACCTTCCCAGGATAGAGCACTTGGGAGAAGAGGTGATTATGAGTTCCACTGCAGCAGACTTAAATGTACCTGCCCAGCAGCTCTGAACAGAACAATGGAGC